AGTAAAATGGATTCATTATCCCAACTGCATTTGTTTAGAAAATGATACAAATTGAATACATTAGAAAAAACTGGTAGTGACATGATATTTACAAAAAAAATAATGTCCCAGTGGCTGTGGTTCAGGTCCTTCAGGGTGTTTGCTGCTTCTTTTCCATCTCACAGAGCATTCAACACCCAAGTGACGGATCGGCCCTTCACACACACTCAGCTCTAACTACACTCTGTTCTCCCAAGTCTTCATGTTCCCAGCTCTTGGTCACTTCAGGCTCGTTAGAACCGAGTGACTAAAAGTCTAAAGACTTTAAAGCCAAACTTTTAGACTATGAAGGTAGGGGCCCCTACAATGCATAAATTGCTCAGGGGACTTGATGGGTTAAAGGCACTTTTCAAATTGCTTCCTTTGGTGCCCAGGTGTGCCTTGTACCCACAGTGCTTCAAGGTGCAGCCCCCACCCTGCCCCTACACACCCTGTGCCCCACCACAGCCTCTGCCCTGCCCTGCTCAGGGTAAAACAAAAGAAGCACAAAGGAAATTCTGGCTTGTTTGTTATCAATGGGACCTAATAAGACACCATTGCTATAAAACAGAATTCAATAACAACACCAGTCACAGTGGAGTCCATGCCATCTAAAGACCTTATTGTAAGGCGCTGTCCATAACAACTCAGCATTCAAGACTGAGGTTTATTTCTTAAACTATCATATCTTTCCTACAATTACTCCTCCCTTAATATGAAATCCATCCTATTTTTAATAAAATGAAAATACCCTGTGGCTCGGTGGTAAGAGCAAGGATTTCGGTTAGGAACAGACATGGGAGGTTACCATATCATTGCAAAAGACGACTCTGTCTCATCGTAGAGCTTAACTTCACACCTCTGGCCTTTCCTTCGGTCTGAAGTTGTGAAGTACTTTGGCTCCCCAACCTTAGAAATGGGAAGAAATCATTATTCTTCATCAATCATTGGAGAGGTATTTAGGTATTTGTTGATAGAAATACACAAACGTTTACCTTTTAAACATCAAATTAAAAATATTAAAATAGCAAGAACCATTAATATATATTTGATGATTTTAAAATGTCTTCTGTCTCTAAACCAGGTATATTTGGCTGAAGCTATAAGTTAGACACACCTTGGAAAGAGAGGGGGCCATAAGGGCTTAAAGTTGAGACTGAGTCTTCCCAACATGCCAGAACAAATGCTCCATGACGGGTCCCTTGGTGACATCTATGTGGCCTCCTTGAGGGTAGAAAGTGTATTTTCCACATCCGTGTATTCCCATGGCTTAGCATAGAGCCTGGCAAGGAGCTCATGTGACTAAATGAACTTAGTCTCTCCGGGCCTCAGTGTCCCCATCTCTGTATCAAATAGCGGACATATCTGCCTTTGCCTCCTTTGCCTTCTCCCCAGGGCCAAGGCGGAGGGGCCACGAGGGGTAAGGGAAAGCACTTCGGCACACTGTCCAGTTCTGTCTGTTGTGGGGTAAGAGAAGCAAAGAAGTGGAGGTGACCCAGGGGCCCTTCTCTCATGACAATAGCAGGCGCCTCTGATGGCCACACAGCAACAGCCCCCACATAGATAGTCGTTGGCTGCCACCATGCCACTGCCGCCACTGTGTCTGCTGGCAGGACTGAGCTCCATGGGAAGGAGCTGGAGAAAGACGCAAAGGTGCCAAGAGAACAGGATCTGGACAGGAAAGTCAGCGGGAAGGACGGCCAGAGGACGAGAGAGGCCAGCCTGCATAGCTGGGGTGGGAGTGGTGGTGGTGAGGCGAGATCATTGTATTAAAAGGAAATTTAAAGTGAAAAGACAGTGGAGGTGAAGAAGAAGAGAGGACAGGTTAAATAAAAGTGTGAAGACAAGGAAATGAAAGAGGGCTTGGAGCAAAAGAGGAGACAGAGGCATGAAGAGAAGTGATGGGTGCCAGACTCACTGGGGAGTGGGCAGTGGGAAAAGTTGCAGGTTTTTGCATATATTCATTATTATATATTCTTACTGAATTTTAGACAATTCTTACTACGTTATAAATGTAATGGCATTATAAAGAACTGTGGGGAAACCGCATACAATTGAGCACTTAATTGAACAATTGAGTAGGACTGAACCTAAATTGCCTAGAAAGTGACTTCTGTTTTTCCAGATTGTCATATAGGGTGTTTATTCATCCACCCTAAATTATATTTCACACTCCCCATATGGCAGGCCCTGCGCCAGGCCAGGGCTAGTGAACAAAACAGACACGGCCTCTGCAGCCAGGGGCCTGCCACCTGAGAGTCAGCACTCCCTCCGTCAGCATTTAACACCACAAAGCAACTAGATTTATTTACCACATTAACTATAAGAAGCGTGTAAGTCTAGTTCCTCTTTTTTTTTTTTTTTTTGGTCTATTGACTGTCCTTCCCAGTATTGAGAAATTACTCTTTCCTATTTAATTTTCTTCACGTACTTTTGTGCAATTTTACTGCTGAGGTCTACCTCTAAATCTTTGCCTAGGAACTCTGGACTGCCAGACTACAGACCTTGCTGCAGTGGCTGAGAAAGATGCTGATGCTGGGAAGGAGCCCCATGGAGTGCTGGCCAGCACCGTGCCACGCCGCGATTAGACTGCAGAGCCCCTTGAGCAGTACAGTGGGTATTCTCCCTCCTTCCCCCGTCTCCGGGCAGCTCTAAAGCACACACGCACAGAACTAATTTCTTGACTTACTCAATATGCCTGTTCAAGGAACATGATGGAGATCTGCAAGCCAGTAAGCTCACCCTTTCCATGTGCATCTTTGTTGAAGTGGGAAAGCTCTCATATACCTAGTGCATCATTTATGAGGAGAGCGGTACTCTGCATTTAGTATTCAGGTATGATTTTGTTTTGCCGCTCATTCGCAGATAAAATGCTACTTTCCCTTTAATGAGAAGCGTTACTGTTTTCTAAATTCAACTCACTACCAAGATACGGAGGAAAAATTACCCCAGCGGATCATGATGACACTACAGCCCAAACACAAATTAAGTGACAAAGACTCCCCCACCCCAAATAGCACTTGGCATTGTTGGGGTCTTAACTTACCGACCTCACAGCTGCAAGCACATTAATAATCTTCCCATTAAGACTTTGTCCATTTGCAACAATGTCACCCAATGTATAATAATCCTGAGACTCTTTAACAGGTAAATGTATCAGAGAAAGTAACTTGGTGTCCACTCCACAACTGGAACAAACTTTTACCGTTGAGTGATTCTCACTGAGCAATAGTTTATAGTTGCTAAATTGCAAAAACACACAAAAAGGTTAATACGAAATGATTTTTGAATAGAAAAATACTTACAGGTTCACAGTTTAATTACTTTTTTGGTGGAAATTTAGACTATATTAAGAAATGTATACTTTTTACTCTTAGAAAACTGAATAATGTGATAAAATAGTTTCTGTTTAAAATGTATTTTAATTAAGAAAATTTATTTTGTGTTTGTTTTTTTGTTTTGTTTTTTTGGGGGGGGGACAAGGTCTCACTCTGTTGCCTGGGTTACCTAAGTACAGTGGTGTCATCACAGCTCGCTGCAAACTCAGACTCCTGGGCTCGAGCAATCCTCCTGCCTCAGCCTACTGAGTAGGTGAGATTACATCTATATTACCATGCCCAGATAATTTTTCTGCTTTTTTGTAGAGACAGTGTCTCCATAATGCCCAGGCTGGTCTTGAACTCCCAGCCTCAAGCAATCCTCCGGCCTCAGCCTTCCAATGTGCTAGGATTACAGGTGTGAGCCACCATGCTCAGCCAAAGAAAATGTTTTGAGGATCAATTCATGCCTGAGCTCTAAGCATATTATTCATCTGACCTTGGCCAAGACTCTGAGCTTGTTTCCTTCTCTATAAAACAGAGATATAAAAGCACTCTAAAACTTTAGGGGAGGGTCTTACGAACCCAAGGACTTGTTGTTTCTCTTATGACCCTGGCTGTTCTGTCTAGTGTCAGGTCAAGGACTGTGTTTTCTTACCTCTGCAGCGGTCTCTGTGGAGGAAAATGCACCTGACCTAAGCTGCTCTTCCCCCTGCACCCCTACCCAGCCCCTCACACCATGCCATTGCCTTAGAATCACATCACTTCTGTCCCACACCACTGCCTTGCCCTCCTAACTAAGCTTCATGCCCCACAGTCCATCCTCCACATGCAGGCTGGTACACAACTGCCAGAACGGCCTTTGAGGTGATGCCTCCCCCCTCTGGGGGCTGGGGGGAGGATGGACTATAGCCAATGACAAATACAGGGTACATAAGCCCAGTCCCCTCCCCTCAGGGTGCTATTCTGAGGGGCTACTCCTCCGGAGCTCCCTCCTGGGCTCCAGTGGAGGCTCCAGGTCAACTTACTTCTTTATTCAGCTTCTCCCCCACCCCAACCCTATCCTTGCAGGTGTCTCGGGAGAGCTCTCCCTCAATAAAGCACTCACACAAAAATCGCCCTCTCAAGCTCTGCTTCCAGGGAGCCTAGGATGGTAAGGCATGTGAGCAAGAGTGATACCTTGATACAAAAAAAGACATATAATTTCCAAGATTTATCTTCAGTTTTAATGTGACTGGAGTCAAATTTTTGTAACTCTAAGAATGAGGAAGTACTAAAAACACAGCCATTTTTTCATGTGAGTCTGTATCAAAGTACATTATCTTATAATCAAAGATAAATGCTATGAAAGAGAATTAAACTCCTAACTTTCAAACTGAAGTACAGTGCCATCGGTAAGCTCTCTGCTAATCTGAGACAAAATCATTAGTAATGATCATTCCTGCACAAAGATTGTTGATCTCTGCATTAGACAGATATTTACCTAGGAGTTGCAGGGCTGAATTTTTCTTCTCTTTCTATTTCCTTTCTTTGGATCAGAGGATTTTCAATTATCACTAAAACAGAAGGTATTACAAAATAGTAACAGGGTAAATAAAAAACAAGTGTATACAACAATGACTGTCACAATGTGGTTTCCAAGGTCTGAGCTGATGCCATGTATCCCCCACAGTCCCCATCTCGTGTTGTTGTGAGAAGTGGAATCCCAGGGTTACGACCATCAGTATGACCCCAGATGACATTTCTGATGCTGTGTGTTTAAATCCCACCATGTCACCACACTGATATCACTTTATTGGTCTAGTGACATTCAGCATTTGATCTTGTGACAACATGGCCTCCAATAAGACCTCTTCCCACTCCACACTTGCCATGGAAACCAGTGGGGTTGGAAAGAGCAATGCAAAGTCTGGAACACTAACATGGGCACTGCCACTCATCAGCTTTGTCAACCCAACATTTTAGGGTTTCAGCTTCTTCATGGCCTATGCAACCTTCCAGTGCTCTGCTTTGCTCATTCCTCATACAACCATCTACAATTATCCGTGTCTTACAAATAAGGAGATTGATGCTCACAGAGGTTAAGTAAATTTCTTGAGGTTATATATCTAGAAAGTAGTAGAGACAGAATTAGAATTGTCCTACTTCAAAAATCTGTAATCTTTTCACCCTAACACACTAACATCCTAACATCCCACTTACATTTATAATCATCACCAACTTTAGGCTTTTAAAATCTCTTCTGTCATTCGTCCTTACAACCGTCAACATATAACATTTTGATACTGAAATATATCTTTATCTGTCTATATCACTAACATTCCTGCATCCATTCAAGGAATGTTTATAACAGTACTGGGCCCTACAAAGTTTGCAAAGTTCTCTGCCTTCATAGCCCACATGTTTGATGACCTTATTGTTCAATTGGAGAGATACTATATATAAACATAACCCTAAAAATTAATACTACAAGACAATATATGATCAGGTACTAAATAACTGGTGTGGGTGATGGGCTGCTTGATACTACAGTATTAAAGACAAGTGGTTTAATTACTCACATTGCTCTCTACTTTCTCTTTTCTACCATGAAAGAGATCTAGTAGACATGCTTTCTTGTATAAGGCGAGAGCTGTCACTGAGTGACTAAGCTCTACATTTTACATTATACTAGGCACACTGTCTCACTTAATATTTTCAAAAACCAAAAAGTTTTTTCAAAGTCACGATGTACATACACGTTGCAGCTGGGATTTGAATCTAGATCTAAGTTTTCAAAGTCCTTGTTCTTTCTACTATACTATGCTTTACTGTCACAGGGATACTGGGGTGAGTAGAAGATGCAAAAGATTTGGTATTTCAACTAAAAATAAAGTTTCTTAAAATTTCATTAAAAATTCAAATATTGGCTTTTATCAAAATCTATTCGGTGGCCCTATGATATGTCTATAGAAACATAACAGCTGGTGGCTTATGTCTATAACCCCAGCACTTTGGGACGCCGAAGCAGGAAGATCACTTGAGGCCATGAGTTCAAGATCAGCCTGGGCAATATAGCAAGACCCCCATCTCTATAGAAAAAATTTTTAAAAATTAGCCCAGCATGGTGGTGCATGTGTCGTATAGTCCCAGCTACTCAGGAGGCTAAGGCAGGAGGATCATTTAAGCCCAAGAGTTTGAAACTGCAGTGAGCTATGACAACACCACTGCACTCCAGCCTGGGCAACAGAGGAAAAGAAGAAAAGAAAGGAAAAGGAAAGGAAAGAAAAAAGAAGGAAGGAAGGAAACTGATTATAACAAACTAGGGGTTGATATAAATTGAAATATATAATAAACCAAAGATGGCAAAGTCGCCTAGTAAAAATACAACTATCATGTTCATAGGCTTCAAGTAACATGCTGAATCCCTTGCATTATGCCCTTAAACTTGACGTTTTTCTGATGAGGTTCTTGAGAATTATCAACTGTTGTCTTATTTCATTTTGACTCCCTTAGTATAGTAGCAAAAGCATGCTGCAGGGACAGATACCGGAACAGTACACTGGAACAGAAACAGTTTAAGAATCAAGGCAAACTTACCACACTCGCCAACCCTAAAGCTGTCAGAAAGAGACTTGATGTAACCTTCATTGCCCCAGGATGTTGCATTTACAAAATAGGTTGGCGAGTCCCGAATGGTGAAGCTGAAAGTGTACCGCTCTGATCCAATATCTAAGGGAAAATCAATGCTTTTATATTTCAAAGTTTCATTTCAGCTTTTAAAATGACTCATTATTGATGATTAGTATGATAAAAATGCTCAAAACGTGGTACAAAATGTTATTTTGGATGTATATTCTATAAATACTTGTGCTTTTATGAATTTCAAAGCAAAGTAGTAAAAAGCTGCCAATAGTTCACCTTATTATTGGCCCCTTTGCTCCCTTTCCCCAGTTATCTGTGCATTTGGAAGGGAAGATACACAGACCCAAACTGGCCAGATATCAGCTTAGATTCTCCATGTCTCTCTTATTGATATATATATTTTTTTGTTTTAGAGACGGGGTCTTGCTCCTGCTCAGGCGGGTCTCGAACTCCTGAGCTGAAGCTATCCTCCTGTCTTGGCCTCCCAGAGTGCTGGGATTACAGGCGTGAGCCACCGCAGCCAGCTGATATTGTTTTAACCTAAGTCATAATTCAGATCTAAATAGTTATGTCAAAACAAATTGTGCGCAACTAAATGAGTACCACTAGGGGTCAGCAAGTACATTTTTTCCCCAAATGGAAATCTTGTTACTATTTTTGCTAATTAAAAAATATAGCCTAATATAAAGATGCAAACTATAAATATATACGGAACTACTATTAGTATCTACCTTTGTGGAGAGGACTAGGATGGCAAGAATAAAGAGTTGAAGGGGGAATTTCACTTTTCAACTCTATGACCTTTGATCCTATTGGAATTTTTAATGAAAATGTTACATGTGCAATGCTTTTAAAAGTCAATAAGCATACCTTCTCCGAAAGGAATGCTAAAGATGTCATCATAAAAACAAGTCAAACAATACGGAAGTGTTTCTCCTACACTCACAATCTGATAGGTGAAAAATTATATTTCATTGTCATAAGTTTAGCAAAAATTTTAATAATTACTTTTTTATAATTCATGTACTTTAAGTTATACCTTCTAGGATTTAGTAAACAGAAAGACATATAGACTTCCTCAAACTATTCAAATAGTAATTCTGACTAGTTATGATAAAATACGGCACATCCAAATGAGTATGAGTACCAGATGACATCTTTGTTTAAAAAGGAATATTAATATGAACTAAAACAAAAATAAAGGTATCTATTACTATGTCATGAGTCAAAGTAACATAGCCACAATTAATCAGGTGATTCCAGCAAAATTAACATCTTCTGCCAAAATTACTGGCTGGCTGGACAGAGCTCTGATTCACTTAAGCTATATAGAAACACTTATACTATAACCTTTAATAAAAAAGTTTTAAAGCTAGTAGTAGTGAACTGCTAATTCTATATTTTATCTTTCATGTCAACTACAAAAGTTTACAGGTGAGTTGATTTTAAAAATCCATCTTTAGACATGAACAGATTTTTTTCAAAAGAAGATATACAAATGGCCAACAAACATGAAAAAATGCTCAACACACTAATCATCAGGGAAATGCAAATTAAAGCCACAATGAGATACCACCTTACCCCTGTCAGAATGGCCATTATTAATAAGTCAAAAAACAACAGAGGTTGGAGCAGATGCAACGAAAAGGGAATGCTTATACATTGTTGGTGGGAATGTAAATTAGTAGAACATCTATGGAAACCAGTATGGAGATTCCTCAAAGAACTAAAAGTAGACCTACCATTCGATTCACCAATCCTACTACTGGGTATCTACTTAAAGGAAAAAAGTCATTACATCAAAATGACATCTATATCCAAATGTTTATTACAGCACAATTCACAATAGCAAAGATATGGACTCAACCTAGGTACCCATCAACTGATGAGTGGATAAAGAAAATGTGGGATATATACACCATGCAGTACTACTCAGGCATAAAAAAGAATGAATAATGTCTTCTGCAGCAACTTGGATGGAACTGGAGACCATTATCCTTAGTCAAGTATCTCAGGAATTGAAAAAAAAAATAGCACATGCTCTAATTTATAAGTGGGAGCTACATGATGGGTATATATGGTCATAAAGTGGTGTAATGGAAATTGGAATCTAAGAAGAGGGAGGGAAGGAGGGGAGCAAGGGATAAAAAATTGCCTATTGGGTATAATGTATACATTTCTGGTGACAGATACACCAAAAGCCCTGACTTTAGCATTATACAATTCATCCATGTAACAAAAAACACATGTATACCCTAAATCTACTGAAAGCTTAAAAATCCAGTTTTAGTCTTAGATTATGTTTCCATAGTCCTAAAACTCTTTCACAGTTCAAG